TCTCACCAGATTGGAGGAGAGTGGCAGAATCACCTCCCTCGACCTGCTGGCCACGCTGCTTTGGATGCAGCCCAGGATATGGTTGGCCTTCTGGGTTGCAAGTGCACATTGCCGGCTCATGTCCAGCTTTTCATCCACCAGTACCCCCAAGTCCTTCTTGGTAGGGCTGCTCTCAATGCATTCTCGCCCAGCCTGTGTTTGTGCTTGGTACCTTGCACTTGGCCTTGTTGAACTTCATGAGGTTCACATGGGCCCACCTCCCAAGCCTGTCAAGGTCCCTCTGGATGGCATCCCTTCCTTCCAACATGTTGACCGTGCCACACAGCTTGGTGTTGCCAGCAAACTTGCTGAGGGTGCACTCAATCCCACAATCCATGTATAACAAAGATGTTAAACAGCACTGGTCCCAGTACGGACCCCTGAGGAATGCCACTCATCACTGGTGGGACACTCATCACTGTACTTGGGACATCGAGCTGTTGACTGCAACTCTTTGAGTGCAACCATCCAGCCAATTCCGTATCCACGAGTGGTCCATCCATCAAATCCATGTGTCTCAAAGTATCATGTAACTGCTCAAGGAATGGAAGTCACCTGTCCAAATTCACCTATACCTATCTGCAAAACACCCAGGGAAAGTGCTTTGCAGAGATAGCTAAAGGAAGGATGAGAGAATACCCTTGCCCCCACAAAAAAAAGGAGTTGGTAGCTATCAGGTGGTAGTAACCTGTTACATAGGTGTTCTAAATCACCGATCTTCAAAAATCATAAATGTATTAACTGTTTCCACAACCGCGACCAGAAGGAGCAGTGCAGAAGTTCATTCTGTAGACTGCAAAGCTCACCTTGTCAGAGGGCCTTTCTGTTTACATATTCCCTCCCAGCAGTGAGGTTCAGGAGACACAGGGCACTTCTGCAAACCTTTTACACTTGGGTGAACTTTAGTCACAGTCCAGTCTGCCATGGATGCTTCTACAGAGAACATCTGAACCTGACCAGAGCCCTAGCAAACCTGAATAAATGTATATTCACAATGGGACTGGCCTTCTACACTGGAGCAGTTAAACAGTCAGTCCCACTGTCCTCTGTGCTTACCAGCACATGGAATGCATTGGAAAAAAAAGTCCTACGACATGAAGGCATGATGTCCAAGCTTCTCTTCTGATGAATATATGTGGCAGTTTCTTGTGCCTGACCAGCTGTGCCTGCAGCATGGGGGGTGGCACAGCTACAAAGCAACGATTCTGCCCAATCCTTTTGGTGCATGACACAGGAACTGCTGCAGCTGCTGCAGCTAGCCGTGTTTAAAGGAAGAACTACTATCATTAACAACACTTCTGCAATCCTACAATCTTAGAAGCACATCCATACAGCTCAGCAGAAACCCCGTTCAGTCCAGACAAAAGGAAGGGTTTATAAAAGACAAGTACGTTTAGAGCACCTAGTTAGCAACAGCCCTCTGCAGACCAAGTTTGGTCTGTGGTACTAGATTTGCAGGGCAAAAATGTGCTCAGTGGGTACACATTAAGTGAGTTGCAGCAGCAAAGAACCCTTTTCATGCAGTGGTTCTGCTGAGACCAACGTTCAGTAGGACCAATGTCCAGTTCGGACTCTTCATGATATTCTGAAACATTACTTGTGAATCGATAGGCATATGGGGTGGCAGGGAGGCATGTAGGGAGAGGAACTGTTTCTAGATTAGTAGCCCCATCAGATTTCTTAAACTGAGTGAATTTAAGAATTGGATACAGTTTTACTTTTGTCAGGATTATACTGCTTCTACATGACTCTTCTTAACTTCCTCTGTGTGACCCTGTAAATCCCCTTCATGACAGGCTGCTTTGAAAAAACTTCAACATTTCTGTGACTGTAGGCACAGGCAACTCCCTTTGATGTCTTATAAAGCACTGAACAGCACTGTTGTTTGCACTGACTGCCTTAGATTTGAGTCTCAATAAGCACAGACTGGTTAAGGTTGGCAGGCATCTCTGGAGGTCATCTCGTCCTGCCTCCCTGCTCAAGCAGGGTCACCTACAGCCAGTTGCCCAGGACCACGTCCAGACAGCTTCTGAATATCTCCAAGGATGGAGACTCCGTAACTTCCCTGGGCAACCTGTGCCAGTGCTGGGTCACCCTCACAATAAAGTGTTTCCTGATGTTCAGAGGGAACCTCCTGTTTTTCAGTTTGCCCCACTGCTTTTTGGACTTTCAGTTTGCCTTTTGGGCAGCTATTAAGATTAGCACTATATTAGGCATAAAAATAAAGCAAGAGCATATACTCTAATTTCGGATAGCATTTGTGTTATAGTTATCAAGAAAAAATAGTCAGATTCTTGGGCTGCACTGCACACTGAATTGCCTGAAGACTGAAGTTAACAGCACAGTGTTGCAGCTTATCCAGATTACCACGGAGTATCAATTTCATACTTGCTTTACATTTAGCACATTGTACAACATAAAAGTTTTCACCACTCCTTTCTCTGTAGGGTATTTAATTGGGCTTCAAACATAAGGACTGTCTAGAGCAAGTTCAACAACTATGACAAATGTATCTGTCCACTATGCGTATGTTTGTAATGAAGACTCCATTTTCTTCTGAAGAGGACTAACAGATGCCAGAAATCACCAGATGATTGGCAATGGCTGTCATTAAATATAGTGGGCTGAATCAATCGGGACAAAATAGATGAAGTGAAGAAAGAAGCTCTAAAAAAGGTCACAAAGGATCACCAATCTCCACAACTGAAAGAATTTCTATTTCTAGTTGTGATTTCATCCACCTCTACCAAAATACAGCCAACACATCGGTTCCAGGCAGTGTCTCACTTTCCTCCCCTGTAACCAGCACAGCTTCAGCCTCTAGCTAGGGCCATGCTTGAGAAGATAAGCATTCATCCTGAGCCTCAGCAAGGTGTTCCATCGCGGGCAAGGGAGGAGAGAGCCAGAGGGCTGATCCAGAATGGAGTGTGACTTGGCCAAAGAAATCCCCATTTTCAGTATTTCACCTTGATGCTCAGAAGCTAGTGCCCGGGAAAACACTACAGGAAAACCCTAAGAGAAAGAACCACCCACTCACAGGGCATAATTACATTTCTCCTCACTGCGCCAGCTGTGCAGAGCTGGGGCAAAGCCACAGCCGAGGTAGAGGCCAGGCCACACAAAAGAAAACACAGCTACACGGGCTGCGTCTGAACATCCACCTGCCAGAATACCTCCCGGTAAATCACTGACCAGGCCACACAGCCCTGGAGGTGGAGGAGTCGGGGAGGGAGAAGCCAGGTTAAGGCAGAGATGAGCGGCGACAGAGAAGCTCTGATCCGCAGGTTTCTTTTCCTAGGCAGACCAGGATTTGTATACAGTAAACAGGACGGTTTAGGCATAGTAAGCCAAGTCTGCATTTTGGAGCAGCACAAACTAAGCCTCCCAGGCATGGCAATGTTTTCAAAGTCACTTGATAAGCAAAACAAGTCAAGAGGGTAATGCATGACTTATCTGGTGTATCCTCAAGCTTCTTTCCTTCCAGCTGGATTCTGATGTGCCTTGCAGAGCCAGATGGAATAACCCTCCCCCGCACAATACCACGCTATCGCAACACACGATAAATGGCAAGAACAACCACAGACATTTCTATTGCATCAACACTGTGCTGATAGTTTGCTCCTCTTATCGTGAGAATTTGGGAACATGAGACACAGCTTTATACTCTGCTGGTGGCTTCACGACTGTGTAATTCTGCCAAGTTTGTAGAAGGTGCTCCTGATTTAAACCACTGCAAGACAAAATGGAGCTTTTGTTTCCATTCATTTACATGACAGATTTTAGTAAAGATATTAAAAATAAGGAAGAGCATGACCTTTTTGTATGCTTTCAGCTATGCCCGACAGCACATATATGGCTCATAAATGCAGCCAGAGAATAGAACTACCAGTTCCATTTTTGAAGTCAGTATGGAAAGAAGACTTTACCTAAGTACACTGACTGCTCCTTCCAGTTCATTATTCCATACTGTGAATTTATTTTTTGATATTAACAAAATGGTACAAATTAAAAATACATTGGGAAAGTGCTAGGTTGTGACGATTATGACACTCACTATTAAAAAGCAGACACACAAGACCCAACAAACGCTGTGTTTTTTAAGGCCACATGCAACTTTTTTTCCAAAAAATTCCTGTTTTCCAAACTCTCGCAGAACCAAATCCCTAATTCCTAGCTGACCTACCGTATCTCTTTTAGAACAAGATCCAGATCTGCAGACCAAAGTACAGGTATCTATGTGTAAGGAAGGCAAGCATCTATCTGCAAAGCAATTGTCTTAAATCCTCATTGCAGTCAGTGGAGATCCAGTCAGTACAACAAACGGAGTTCGTCGAGTGATGCAGCTCTCCCTCGCACAGGCAGTTTGGTCAGTGGAATCCCTCTAGAACCGCTGACTGCAGACTAACTCTCTGCTGACTGTGACGGGAATACTGCTCATGTAGGCACCTATGCTGGAAACGCCCGCATCTACCTCCGCATCCAGAGCTGAATCCTACCTGTAACCCTGACCTAAAGACCTTATGAAACTAAGAATCCTCAAATACTCTGCTAAGCTGTCTAATCACTATCACATTTAAAATTTGTACCTTATTTCTAGTATAAACTAGTCTAGTTAATCATCTTCCAGCCCTTAGGTTGTGCAGCGTCTTTGTATGCCAGATTAAAAGAGCCTTCCACTACCTAGTTCTGAGGGGAGAAAGACTGTTAAGAAACAAAATTTAAATGCATCTTGCAGGCACAACCCCAGAGAGCTACGTAGCCTTTTGGCAGCATCTGTGAAAAATTAAGAGGCACACTGGAACCGGCCAAGCACAAAGCCTGTCATTCTTCCAAGCGCGTTTCAGGCTCCTTCTCCGTTACCTCTCCTGTGAATTGACAATGGCTAGCCAAAACTCAGCCATTTAAAAATGTTTTAATGGGGGAAAATATTATCTTTTTTTTCCAAACCACTGCATCTGCAATGGGCAAAAATCCCTAAAAACAATTATTCAGCTTTTATTTTTTCAGGGTTTTTTCATCACTACCCTTTAGACTTGCACTTCTAAAACACTATTAGCTGTTTGAAACAAGTGCTCCCAGTTGATACCACCATTTCAAGAGGAACTCCCACCTCTTTGCCGTGCCACATGTGTGAGCAAAAGGAAGCATTCAGCCTCATGTCCCACTATACACTACTTGGCATACCACAGCCAACGCAGGTACCACAGGTCCAAGAATTCCCAGTTCAGAGGAATCTAACATCCACAAGTGATACTGCTCCATTATATCAGGGCAGGTCTTGGCATACCATTTATTAAACTTAGAATTCACTCTTCAAAGAAGGTTGCTGTAACGCAGTTTATAAGCTTGACTAAATCCTCATCCTGCTTTGGTAGCACTGGTATGAACACATCACTAATCAAGCTTGATCACAGTAGAAGACTGAACCATAGGGGTAAAAATGAAAATACATACACATACATGTGATTTTCTCCCCGTTTGAATTGATCTGCTCCCAGAACATATTTAGAATATTTATGCAGCTTTATATCTTTAGTATTGCTAAGATTCAAGAAGGAACTGGAAAGGTATAAGAAGAGTTCATTAAATTCTGATCTCTAGTGTTAGTGATGAACAAATACCCCTTCCCCTTCTACACAGATACCAGTTTGACTTCCAAATTGATCTGAATTTTTAAAGGATGCGATATTTAAAGCACAGTCGCACGATGCGTGAAACTGATATCCTTACGTAACGCTGTCAGAAGCCTGACACAAGCCTGGGTTTGACTTCAAGCTTTTTTTAAGGTTCCTCAACAGGGGTGAGCCAAAGTTAGCATTCAAGAAAAAAGAAAATGAAAGGCCAAGCATAGCGTACAACCTTCTGGTAAATCCTATTTCTTGTCTCTCTTGCTTCTCAGATTATTCAGACCTTGGGAAACTGGTGGAAGATAAATGTCTTGCATCATAAAATACCAAAGCACTGAAAGATAACAGCGAGGTGGCAATAGGTTATAAAAGGAAAAAAGTTTTGTTTTGCTGCTCAGATAGGACACGCAGTATGGAGTCTCAAGCTTAGAGAATAGCAAGCCCAGTACTAAAATAATAACAAAAATGGAGATGGCTGAGCTGGTTCCACTCCTTCAGGTAACATGAGAGAACATTTAACTATAATACGCAAAACAAAAATGCTTACTATGAACACATGTAAGGAAATCTGGACTTCTTGTATACGGTGACCCATATTTCTGAATACAAGCTGAAGAACAGAAAATGAAATTGTTATTATTACAATGATGACATGGCAGCTGTTCAAAGCATGTAAAATGATACCGATCCTGCTGATTCATTAAGCAAGGATTTGGAAGGTGGATGCAAAATCTATGCAATATTATAATCTCCCAGATGACTTAAAATTCTTAAGTTCATTAAAATTTTTTAGCCCTGATGTACAGTAGTTATAAGCCATCTGAAAAGGATGATCACTTAACCAGATGCTACTATGATTCTAGAAGCATATTAGTAGCTACTCAAAGTTGACCTACTAAATCTCTTTTAAAAAATCTAAAAAGCACATGGAGTTTTCTCAAACTTTTGGTATGTCTGATCTTAAGTACTACATATTAAACACAAATAGAAAACAGTATGATGCCATGACTATGATACAGTCAATAGAATAAGCCAATGGTTCAATTAGAAAAGGCACTTTTTTTTTTAATAAGGAGGTTAGTTAATAGCTAAGTTAATTAAAAAATGAAAAAGGTAGAAGACTTCAAATTATTTACTAATGCTTCAAGCTACAGATATAAATGCAACATCAACATTTCAACATGCAGAAAACACATAAAGGATCTCTGTATGCAAATCTATACATATGTAATAAACACACCTCAAAATTACATAAGGAAGGTACAGTCTATCTTAAAAGTTAGAAATGCATGTTTACTGCAATCGATTTCCATCACTTTCCTTAGTAGAGACTTCATCTGGGACAAGCTCCAGCCTTAGGCACCACATACCAGCACTGCCACAAAGTGAAAGTAAAAGCTGCAACTCACCCAAATATTTCGGGTAAAAATACTCCTGTAGGAAAGAAAAAAAGAAAAAAAAAGCAAACATTTATTGAACAATATTTGCTTCTATTGTCATACTATTTAAGAGCTGCTGTTAGTTTGGTGGTGCTGCATGGCAGTTTTTTAAGACGGTCCAAACACCAACATCCTTATTTCTTTTTAGTCAGAGGCAGAAAAAGCACAGTATCATACAGGCATTTTGTCTTTTGAAAAGGAAAGAAACATTAACTCCAGTCTCAAGGTGTTTTTTGACAACAGCTGACCTGGTAAGTGGCAGTGACTGAACGTGAATCCACTTACCCACTATCCAAGAGGTAAAGGTGCTGATGGTGGCATGAGGTATGGGAAGGAAGAGCAATCCAGAGACAAAACCCCAGAGTGAAAGTACAGTCACCCAGTGCCTCCTCAGAGGCCCTCTGCTGATGCAGAACACGGGCAGCACCCTAATACTACAACCCCTAAAATAAAAGGGTACCTTTTGCTCTTACAATGACTACCCTACAACTCTAACGGCACTCATTGCCATACTGCTCTCTCTATCGCATCCTAGAGACAGTCTGCTCAAAGAAGGAGATAATGAAAATTTGCAAATGAGGGCAAAAATTGACATTTATTAATCTAAAACCAGATTGCAAAAGGCATTCCCACCCTCTTGTGATATACGGCCACACGTTACTCTTCCCTCCCTTGTGTCAACAAAGCGTAGCCACACAGTGAGAGCAGCAGTTTGCTGATGTGACTTGGATCTAACCTTGCACGTTAGAAAAACGTTCAGCCTGGTGAGGCCCTGCCAATCGCAGGATTGCTTGCACCAACTCAGAGAAACAGCAGGAAAATGCAGCTGTGCTGCACGGAAGGGTAGGAGATTGGCCTGATCATTAAACCACATTCTTAAAAAAATACAAAATATCATGGCCAGGAAAAAGTATTTCTTTCCAACATCACTTCATACTGGATTTCATCATGTATAAGTCACTAGTTCAAGTGCTGTTAAAATTGTAATTGGGGCGTGCAATGAGGGAAAATTTGTGGATTGTATCAGTGCTTAATTTTTTCTGGTTAAAATAAAACATTTCTCAGCTAATTATGAAAGCATACACATAGTATAATTCTCTTTCATACAACATGAGCAGTTTTCATACAACACTACCTGCAGTGAGATTGGGACAGTAATATCCTGTATTCTACGAAATTAATTTGGTCTATCTTGGTGCAAGATTAGAAACAATTTTATTTTCTCCTCTTGTTACAGACGTTTGGATAAGCTCATGCATATATACAGACATGTACATACAATAGAGACAGGCACACACCGTGATTCAATTTGACCTGGACTGTCTAATGCAATCAATTGGTTGACAAGGTCATACAAACTAAAAGTTTTGCATTGCTGTCCTCCTGCAGAAAAATCAATTACTTCTAGCAAATACGCTCCAGTTACTGAAATGCACCGTGTAAATATTCAGCCTAAATCATGAGAGCATTACTAAAGAAGTAGAAGAAGTAGCTTACACTTATTCTAATTTTCAATTCTGACCTGAGGGTAATAGGCTTGGCATCTTTTGGGATTGAGCTTTGTAATCTCTCTTTGGGTTAACAAGCTGAGTGAGGAGTTCAGAATTCCCTACGGTCTCCTCTCCCTCTTTGTTTTGTTTAAGGTTTAGTTTTGGAAAAGACAAGTCAAAAAATATAGTCAAAATAAAAGTAAATCTAAACAGTCTAAGTATTCAGATGAGTGCCCAGCTGTGCTATAACCACAAACTGAACTTCAGCCAGCACTCGAGGAGAAAAAGATAGCAGCATGTGATGAAATATTCCAAACGTTTTTTTCATTATTCTTCCTTCATTCAGTATATGTCAGCAGATGTGTTTAACCACCAACAGGATAATCCAGACACTGGCAAGACAACTTTTTGTGCACTCACAGGACAAGATATTCATGGCCACCAGCCTAATTGCTCCAAGTCAGTGATGGCAAAGGCATAAAACTTCATTTTCTCCTTGACCTCTGATGAATGAGTTGAATGTTAGAAAAGTTCTATAGAGTTTACTTCTGAATGAAAAATTAAGGTAACTAGTTATTTTCGTTGCACAAATAACCTTTTAAATGCAAACTGATTGTATATTGATTCAATGCCAGTTGAACAGCAGAAGAGTGACACTCCAAGACACTGTACCACCACAAGCTTCATTTCACAAGGTATGTAACAGAGGTAAGTGATTTAAACAGGAGGCTTTTAATAGAAATTTAACCCTTCTTTTCCTATCTTCCTCATTTGCTTATTTTATACAAAACTACTTGCTGATCAGTAACACTTCACCAGGTCTACAGGACCTGCTGATAAAACCATTCTAAAATAAAGCAACGTGAAAACAGGTTCTAACATTACTCATTCTTGTATGATTAACTTTTCATTTTTGTCCATAATCAATTTTCCTTACAACAGGCTTCTGGAAATACAGTGACAACATATTTCCATTCAGCCAAAAGATTAATCAAGAAGGAAGGACGAATGATGTTCCACCTTGAGAAAAGGAATTTGCTTAAGCTGAAAGTAGCAGTCATTTTTTAAAAAACACCTATGAGAACTTTTCCCAGTTAAAAATTCAAGTCATGCCTATGCTGCACAGAAAGACAGCCAGACCTGCATTATTTCTTGTGTGAGCGCTCAACTCTGCAATGCCTTTTCAGTCTTCTTCACTGTATTCTTAACAACCCACAGATGTCAGGGAAGATGGAAACCCTATACAGGGTCAGGTCCCTTTTAAAAGTATGAGATTCATCTTCCCTCCACCAGAAGTCTTCAATTGTATTTTCAGGATCCAACAAAAATGCCAAGAGAAATGCTTTGAGGCTTGTTAGCAAGGAGTTAGCAAAGACTCTCTGTTACTAGTTTGCTGATTTTTCAACTAGTCACCTTCAGTTGCAGCCTCACCAAACATCTCACCATCCTGGAAGCCACCCAGTACTCACAGGATCAAAACGCAGGAGGTTATTTAACTGTGACCACTGTGGTAGCAAAAGTCACCACAGAATTATAGTAAGTGTTAAATTTTCAGCTTGGACTCTGGTAAAAGAAGCCAATGTTTAAATGTGGTCATCCCTTCCCCTTTGGATTTGCTTTCCTAATTACTGCTGAAAATAAAAGCAGGAGTAATAGACTTTTAAAAATAAAAAGCTATCATCAAATACATATTGGACATAAACGTCCTTTGGATAATCTATTGTACAGACACTGACCTCACCAAGCTTTCTAACCAATCCGTCCAGAGGTAACGTCCCAGTGCATGCAAGAGGAAGACAATGCCTTGCAGAAGCATCAACCTCCACAGCAGACCAACTTTCACACACGTAGTTTCAACAATTCCAACCTCTGTGCCTGCTCCTACCAAGAAAACCTTATGTATTTCCACCCCTGCTTCTTGTGATCCAGCACACTTTCTGTCTGTCTGGTTGCCACATATCAACCGGTACGACTGTGATGCCAGAAGCTTCAGTTATCAAGGGCCTGGCACCACGACACCCACAGCCTGCAGACCTGCATGGAGTATGAGTTACACACCACGCATCATGTGCCACCAGAAGTACAGCTCGGTACAGATCTCAGGTAACGAGGGAGAAATAGGAGAGACTGGGAGAGGCCTCACATCTACAAGTCTGCACCCTTTCAGTGAAGTGGAAAGTACGGCATGAGGCCAGTCCCCCCACGCAGGTCCTGGCTTGCTTAGTTCAGCTCAGTTCAAGAGACCTTTTTCTTGCTGTCCAGAAGACAGAGCTGTGCTTTAACAGAAAGGATGTAAGCTCTACAACCCCGACTCCTTCCACATGAACACATGTACATGCTCAAAGCAAGTATTTTGATGCATTAAACACAATTATTGGTCTCCGTAACAGTAGTGAAAGACCTAAAAGTGCATGATTTTATTTCAGGGTAGGGTGACACCAAACGCTTTTTCATGGGGTTAAGAAGTTCGTCTCCCATCTACATCCAGGGCTTATTCCTACCATTGCAACACAGCCACTATAACACTTAGTGTGGATATCTAAAATGAAAGGAGAGCGTAAGTTTAAAAGTGTCCTCAAAAAACCCCAACCCAAACAAACTCCCCGCCAAGACTCCAGGTTGTGCACTGTTATATTTGGTTTTATTTCCTAATATTAATAGTTGCAGTTTAAGAACAGTTTCTGTGGAGCCACCCCCACAATACCCTGCATTGAAACAACCGAGGAGAACAGCAACATGAAGGTAAAAATTCCTATCAGGACTGTGGAGTTGAAGGGGCAGAAGGACCTACGTCAGCTTCCCTACCGAAAGAAACGTACAATGGGACATCTATTTTCAACTCTATGGCCAAACTCTCCCTTAGCGGTAAAATCCAGAAGTTAGTGAAATTATACTGGGTATGCATTAATCCTACTGCATTTTTGGAGAAGATGGAAGAACACCAAATCAGAACAGGCATTAACATGAGTCACTGTATAAAAATAGCCCTTCTGAAAACATAACAATGACCCTGTCTGCACCAGGAAAATGTTCTCAGTGTTGCTTAAAGTAATTGGCAACACTAGGAACCTCAGCCAAAAGGGCCTGCCAACCGCTTCTGTTCGTTTTGCCTGAGTACTCGGTCAGGTAAGCCTGATCAGCACCGAATCTAATCAAAACTGTGTCTGAGCAGTAGTGGCAGCAGATAAAAGACGTAGTCTACAGAGGGACTGTTCACGTTCCTGGGCAACTGGGCTGAAGGTGGCCCTGCCTAAGCAGGGAGGTTGGACCAGGCGACCTGCAGAGCTGCCCGCCAACCTCAACCACTCCGTGACTCTGACCGCAGCACGGCTAATGCTGGAGGATCTCATAGACTTCCATTAGCAATGGTTAATTTCTAAAAAGCACTTTCTTAGTTACCTAATTACCTCTTTGTGAGCAGCAACAACTCCCACATTATGCCCTTTTCTCATTTCCATATAACGACTCTCCCTTTTCCTCTTTCCTTTGGGACTGAATGTTTGTC